TCTCTCTCTCTCTCTCTCTCTCTCTCTCTCTCTCTCTCTCTCTCTCTCTCTCTCTCTCTCTTTCTCCTCGAACGACATCGCCACTATTTGCATATTATGTCCTTATGCTATCAACATATTAATTGTCGCAGCGATAATTTATTCATATTCAAAAGTTCACGAGGTAATTTATTGTGTCGGTGCAGATCGATCGTTTATGCTCTATTCATTATTTAGTTTTCTGAGTTACCGGATTAATTCCGAATAGGATACACATTTCTCTCGGCTCACGGGAGAAAAACACAGCTTCTGCCTGTCTTAACCGATAGTAAAAGTCGTTTTCTTTATTCCGCGTCGCAACAGTAGTTAATACAGGAACTATACATAAAAGGTTCGTTTTCAATTAACGTTAACTAAACATATGTTTCAGGGAAACGTGGTAGTCCCGGAGGCCTCGTGTCAATAAATTATAAGGATGGCTCATCACCGTCGTCTTCCTCACGTCGTTTGTGGCTAAGTACGTCGGGTGTTACTCTCACATCAGGCTTCGCTTCTTCTCCTGTGGGGTGAGTCCTTAAATATTTGTGCGAAGATTATCGTTACGAGTCTGATAAAATATTATTGTGCCTCGAGAAATCTTTGTCTCTACTACGATTGAAAATCCGCGCCTATCCATTTTACCTCTCTCGGTGAGCTTATACAAATTTGACGTCTATCGTACATCCGCAAGATCAGATAAGTAGGGTAAACTGTGCATTTTTTGACCATCTAAGAGAAACGAACAAAATGATTCAGCGTATATTGCGGGCGATCGTGGAGCGTTATCGCGAACAATCTTGCGATTCGGCGTTATCGAATAAATTGAATTATTTCTAAAACCGCGAATTTCGCCGTGTTGACGATTATTTACAATCAAGTAAACTTCGCGTGCGAGCGTGTGAACGAGAAATAATAATCGTGTCGGCTCAGGCAAGGACGTACTATTTCGACACTTAAATGTGACGGAGGCTTTCCTATTTATATTTATCGACATGTCGAAACGTCATTATACGTGTGAAAAATATAGCGTGAACAAGCGCGACGCTCCGTTATCCTTTAAATGCAAAAAGGACAACGCTTCTATTTGTGTCGATTCGTTTTTTTTTTTTTTTTTCGGTACACGCAGGCTTTACCAATAATCCGCTATTTTTATTCGTTCTGCGTGTCGTGTCTTTCAAATTTCGTATCAAATCAGGAAGCACTCTTGCATTATTAATTACATTACTTTCTCATAATTCGGCTATTTACATGTGTCGGCTGTATATTCGAACGGAGGGGCAAGAGCGCGCAATTAAACATGCAAATATGCTGCGTCGTAACGCATGAAATGTTACGTCCCGTTCGCGTTTCGCCATTTTTTACGGCCCATTTTCTCGCGAGTCTCATCGTAATCGTCAAGCCAGCCGAGCGAACGTCCTCTTATGCCGTAGAATTTCTACAATCCCTGTCATTGACTAGAGATCCAGTCTGCCTTTCGATTAGGATAACGCGCCCGTTAACGACAAGTGTTCAAATTCGACGTCTTCGAGGCACATCGACGACACTTCGTTTCTCTTCCCCTGAGAGACATCGTTTCTCGCCGAACATCGAAATGTAGATTCTTTCGCGTTTAATCGTTCTCCCGTTAAAGCACTTCCTCGATTAACAGCGCTCTCCTCTCGATCTCTCATGACGGGTTCCCCGCGTCTCGACTTCTCTCTTCGCCAAAGTCGGCCCGGCCTTCGAATTTCGAAATAGTTCGCACGTTCGTCACTGACTAGTCCCACGCTCCCACGAAGAACCGTTTTTCCACTCGTCAGAGAAGTGTCTCGAGCACTCTGAACACTCTCGAGTCCGCGATTCCTCGTCACATATACGCCCGTTCTTGACTAGTCTCGTGCCGCGGGTAAGTCTTCTACTTTCGCCTCGACGTGTCCGCATCATCATGTCGACTCGTCCTCAGGGTGATTTCCGATGGACTTCCGATCCGTCGAGCAAATTACGAGGATGCGAGCAGTTTCGCCGCCGCGGTGACGTGGTGTTGGTGATGATAGGGCGTCTCTTGGGCGCCGTAGTAGCTCTGTTGCTGGTGCTCGCTGCTGGCGGCCAGCTGGTGAGGATGCTGATAGTAGGACGCGTATGGCTGGCCGACGACGCCGTCGCAGCTTCGCGGTTCCGTTTTCACGGCGGGCACGGTGCCGGTGGCCAGCAGCGAGGTATGACCGAGGTAAACGGGTCGGTCGGTCGACGCCGACGAGCCTGACGACTTCGTCACCTCGATCTGGTGCTGCTGCTGCTGTTGCTGCTGTTGCTGCTGTTGCTGATTGCTCTTTAAGTCTACGACGATAACATTGCTTTGATTTGGCATTTGAGGGTTTAATCAATATGAAGCATTAATCGATTGAGAATTGTTTTGCGGTGAATTAATTATTAATCAGGGTATGATCAATAACGTCAAAATTTGATTAATAATTAATTTCACCACAATCGATGAAACTATTCGTGATATATAACGATTCATTAGTTTTGCATTTTAGATTATCAATTTGCTGATTATTTTAGTCAAAGAGGATTTTGATCGATTAATGCCTAACAATAACTTTAATTTATTATTATAATTTGATATTTCCCATGGAATAATATTTGTTTTGGCTTCCGAGTTAGTGTCGTGTTTTTCATTGAATTGTTTTCAAAATTTCGTGTGAACATATCAGTCCTCTTCATCAGCACACTTGAATAGTTTCTCAAATCTGAAAGGATCAATTGCTCTTCTCTTTGACGAAGTGTACTGAAATATCCACGAGACGTTTGGAAACAATTTGAAAAAAAAACATGGCTTTAAGCAGACAGTATTGCCTTAGTCAAGTGACTTGTAGTGTCTTATCACTCGTTCCGCGGTTTCGTTATCATATTTTCTTACCGCGAAAATAAGTATAACTACTAACCCGTGGAGGGAGAGGAAGTGGTCGAGGTGCTGGTCTCGTGGTCTCCTGTGGACGACCTCGCGTTCGGCTCCGGGGTCTTCTTCGGTTTCCGCTTCCTCGTCTGTATGCCATCCTTCCGCATGGCCAATGGCCTGTTGACTCCGTGCAATTTGAAGTACAACCCGCAGGCGTTGCACACCGGCTCGCCCTCGTTGTTGCGCCTCCACAAGGTGGTAGTGCGGGTGCCGCAATTCGTGCAGCATAACCCGAGTCGCCTCGTCGCGGTCTGAAATTCCGACATCTGTCCCATTTGTAACGCACGCTGTGATGCGGCTCGAATCACGTGAATGCAATTAGACAGGACAGGCAATTAGACAGTTCTAAGTATACGCAAAAAGAGAACTAGTTTCCAGAACTAAAAAATAGCTGTGGCAGATAAGATGTGTCACTGAAATAGGGACTAATGTCGATACTACCAAAGCTAAATTTATTCGCTGTTAAACTTAGGCGCTACAGCGAGGACTATTAGCTGCTAGAAATAAATGACTGTAACAAATGATTGTAGCTGTACAGCAAACTTCTTTAATATATGCATACGATAAGAAATTTAGGAATAACTGCCATTTTCTTAGTTATTTGAAATAATGTGCATTTTTAATATATTTGTATTTCATAACGAATATATCTTAGCTGTCATAGCCAATTCTTAACAGTGACAGCTAAACGATTAGCTTTTTGACTAAATTTGAATCAGCTACCGCGGTTTAGCTGATATTACTAAATCATTTTTTTGCATGTAGGACTTAAGATCTATATTGGGCCGCGTGATTCAGGAGCGGGATAGTTCAACCGGATTTGAACATCCCCAGCCTGAATAGCGTTATACCCCTTTCTTACGCGTGAAGGAAAAAGATGTCTAGTATGGTTTCCCATACGATCATTCATGGAGGAACTTACCAGGCGTTTCGAGGGCTTGATAAGCGGCCTATTCATGCCGTTCATCTTGTGATAAAGTCCGCATGCGTTACAGAGATAATGACCGGTACCATCCCTTCGCCAGAGCGGTGTCGATATCGCCCCGCAATTCACACACTCACGACCCTCGCCAAACTGGAAGTCCATTGCGGTGTCTGCAATCGTTATTTTCATCGTTCGATTAACGACTAGCGTCAACAACCGATTATTTCTTATTTATAGTATCTGAAAGTGGATCTTATTGTTATTATTTTTACACTTCATTAAAACGCTAAGAAAGCCCTCAACGCGTAGGGTAGATCGAATCGGATCAAATAAACTTTGAGAGCCAATTACCTCTGGCGCAATAAAACAGCTCGTTTGAAGCAAAAAACTAACGACGAATGTCTTAAAATTTATTTTCATCTGATTTGTCTTGATCTATATTAAGAATCCCTTTAAATCCTATTAAATATTAAATCTCTATTGAAGCAATAGAAATTTTTTTATTTACTGACCGAGTATAAAACATTTTTTGTTCATTTTACGCAACTATTTAGCTTTAACCATTTATTAAGGTTTCTGCTTTCGCCCTGTAAAAGTATGTTTAATTTGATGCATGCAATTTGATGTTTAATTTAATGTGAAACTGCATTATGCAGTATCTAGCATCGCCTCAAGAATCAAGAGGATCGGCGAATTTTTCCGCATTCGCCTCTCTTCGCGTCAGATCGACTCCGCGACTTTATTTCGCATCCGTAAATCGGAGGGGGGG